GTGGGTGTACGACACGCAATCCACGTTGCATGTATTATATATTAATATAACGATGACAAAAATGTGCGTTCAAACATTAATTGATCTCTTCCCTTAACCCCCCCCCCCTTATCGTCGCAGCCACACCCTTGAGGATAAGTGTACGCCAAGAAAGAGTATCTAACAGTATCGGCTCTTGAGTATTATACAAAATTTAATAACGTTGACAGAATCGTTGTAATATTACACTGTACTTGGTTTATTATGTATTTCTTTAAAATGAATTTCTAAAACGCATAAATCGTCAACTGCACACAATTTCAGGTCTGTATTATGTCATAGCCTAGAAATATACACATATTATAATGTATATTCATTTTTGTGTACAGCTCAAATGACAACGCGCAAAACGTCCGGCGGCAACGAGTGAGCTGGCAAACGTTTGTTCAGTCTCAAATTGATGATAAACATTACTATAATTAACATCAGTCATCGAGATGACGTTTTAATTGCATTTTTGTTGTGAACCTTTTACCTATTCCGGTTGGCGCGTGAACTTATTTAGTCACATTTATAATAATAAGTACTGTTTTTCTTACAGCAATTTAATATAACGCAGCAATGTTAAAATGTATACACTACAATCGGACAAATATTCAGTCTGGTAAACAGGAATGCATAATTTTATGTCGCTATATTAATACTCTCCGAAAATCAAACAATGTTGGTAAACGAGAGAATAATTTGACGGGTTAACGTGAATCGAGATGAAAAAATGGTTTAGCCGGCTAACGTCATAAAAGCTTACTGCCTACACGTAATAGATTACAGGATTATTAAAAATTATTATTATTAAACTACAATACAGTTAACACCCTGTGTTTTTAAATCCTTTTCAGTTACAATTTATATTTTTGGGTAAAAACCAAACATTTGCTGGGCTAAAACAAATATACTAGCTGTTTTTTTTTTAAATGTATTTTGTTAGGTATTTCGAGCATTTAAGAACTGTGAAAAAATTGGGGAATGGAAAGAGAGGTTTTTTGTTTTCTGCTTTTTGAGAATAAAAAGAACTAACTCCTATGAAATGTATAAATTGGGTTTCAAGGTGTTACACCGTCTAGGTAGTTCCAAACATAGAAGAAATAAATTAATCTCTATTTATTTGCCTATTATATTTTTTTGAAAATTCCAACGACCCGATATTGTGCTTAACCGATACTTGAACAAGTCACTAAGAACTTGATTACCATTGTGTTCGACGTTGGTAAATTCGATTTCGTCAGAGTTATCCTGAAGCGTTTTTTCTCCCTCTCTCTCTTTCCACAAACAGCTTTGTTTTAGCCCCGACTACCGGTTACGCACACCTTCTTCGAATTATTATTAGCCTGCGAAGACACATCCGCGGCGCTTGTCACCGGCACTTTATTTTATTATATTATTATTTATTATAGACACGACTCGATTAACGGCCGGCGGGTGACCAAAACTACCCAAGGCTACTGTTCGTTTACCCCGTAGAACCCAAAACCTACACATAGGTACGTGCCAATGCACATTGTTACAATGTACTATACAGTGTATTTCCGCTCGTTAGACCAACACAGCTCTGAGGCGTTTGGATGTGAAGAGCGGAGACGGTGTATGGTTCTAGCGCGGCTCTAATTAGGGTCCCTCGTGCGCTTAGCGGTGTCGCACACCGCTCGAAACGTTATTATAATAATCATGATACACTCCTACGTAGTATAATGATAATATATGTGTGTATATATCGACGAGAAACATCTGCTATTAATTATATTTATACGCTCTGAGAAATGATATACATAGTATATAATATATATATTCTACGCCCGGGTTCTATTTTTTTTTTTAATTGGTCCTTTAAGTTTTTCTCATTTTTTCCGCTAGTTTTTTACACACGCACGCAGTTTTTTGGTGTACAATTATCTAGAGTAAATGGTAATTATTATTCTAATTAATTTGTACACTCAACACTTAAAAAGAAAAATTGTCATTGTCGCCATTTTATAGTAATATTTTAGTTATACTATTTTATTATAGTATCTACGCAAAATGTATCGAGACCACCGGTAGTATTCCTTCTGCGGCGCCTCAGCGTTTTGTATTCTCGTTAGCGCTGCCCAATTAGCGGACCGGCCTCATGTCAGACCATAAGGCGCCTCTCCCTCTCGCGTTTCCTTAACGAGCTACCTCTTCCTAGTCTTTTTTTCAACGCCGGTATAATATATGTATATGATTAAATTATACAAGACCGCAAGGAGTATAATATATTGTAATATGTGTTTAGCGTGTTCCAGAGGCGACCGTGGTGGCCCCAAAGGGTGGCAATTAAATAAGCATTTGTATATTTATAAAGATACACGTGCAGGCCGACGACGAAAACCTACAATTTAAACCCATCCATGTAGCTATATAGCGCATGGCATATTTATTGATGCTTAATAAAATCGTATAAAAGGTTTTCCGGAAAATACATACATAAGTTGTATAATCCATTTTTTATAATACGGAATATAGCACTGTAACTGGATTGTCTGTAAGAGTCTCTTCAAATTCGGGCGGAAACCTACAAGTAAAAAATTAAACAAAAAAATGGCCCGAACGTTAAGAGAGGACTTTTTTGGCGAATCTTCCTTGCTCGTTCATAATAATTACTGTTATATTTTAGTATGAAAGTAAAACACAATTGGATTTATAAAAGTAATAATATTCGTTGACGTTTATTGTGAAACCCAAATTACACGAATGACAAGTTGTGCCGGTGTAGCACTCGCATATGGTGGACAATCCCCACCATATATATTTATATAAACTGCTGATACGTGACACCTCTTTTCTTTGTTTTTAAATTTAAAACAGTATCAAAATAAATATACTTAGCTATAATTACATTTTTAATATTATATAGATAGATAATACAAATTATTATAAAAACAATATCAAATTACAATAACAATATTTCATGCATAAACAATACAGTAGCATACTTATTTATGACCACAAGGAGAAAAACGCTAAATAGGTTTCTTAATCCTGACTGGCCTAGGAGATTTTTGTGTTGTGGTATTTATTGGTACAGTAGTTTCAAAGGAATCGGAGTTTGTTTGATCAACACTATCAAGCGTATCTGAATAGTTAGAAGCGGGAGACAACCCATTTTATTTTGACTGTGTGACCATATCTGATCATTATGTCTTATCCATTCAGAGCCATCATTTAAAAACTACTTTATGAGTATTATGACTAATATTATCAGTAAATGTACCTTTCTGCCAATTTTCACCTGTTTTTCTGTAATTTTTAACTAACACACCATTCCCCTTATCTAAATGTAAGTCACTTTTACCCCCGTTTTTTATTTGGGTTACTTGATTATTAATAACTACTTCGTTGGTGTTTGGTATTAATAAATCAAATATTGTTCGTGTCGAATGACCACATAAGTTGAGCGGGAGATTCGTTTGTTGTAGAATGGGGTATTATATTCCTATACGTCAGCAAAAATGTATTTAAATGATTTAATAAAGAAGAACATTTAAAAAAAAATTGTTTTACGATTTTACACCAGACTCTGAAAACCCGTTGGAAGCAGGGTGGAAGGTGCTCCCGTGTTTTATCAATGAATCATCTCTCGTTATTATAAGGATGGCAATATAATATATAAATAAACCCAAAGTATAGCCAAAACAAGCTCTAAGTATAACGTTCCGTGCACGAAAACGCTGTCAGAATGACAGATTATTTTTTATTTTCACGCACTTAGTACTAATTTATAAAATAAAAAATAAGGCGCTTTTAATTCGGGTTATGCAAACGGTGGCCTTTTTTTTTTGCCCGAGAAGTCTGTACATAATCAATTATGTGTCTACTCCGTAAAAGGCTGTGTGTACGGCTAATTTCAAAAACGGTATTAACTAAAACACACTGTGTGCCTATACGGCATTATAATAATATGTTGGTACCTATATAATAATAATTATTGTATACACGCCGTGTATCTATAATATGTGTAATGAAACGACGCTAGAGACGAAAGTAATCGATTGTCCGTTCCGATCTGAAACGGTTGTCATAGTGTCTTCCAGATAACACAATATACTATGTGCCATTTCAGCATCCGTTTTCTTTTAATAATAATGGTAATGAAATAATAGTATAATAATGTAATCATTCGTCGAGCAATAATAATAATGGTATATTTTTTGATTTTTTGGAACGTTTCCATTTTTAACAGACTTCAAAAAAAGGAGGAGGTTATTATAGTATTACTTACATTATTATTATTTCGAGAAACCGGCCTATATCGAAGGCACACGCTGGCGTGTGTAAAAGGAAAATTATAATATTAATAGTCGAAGTATTAAAAAAAAAGTCGTGTACCTACGTTCAATATAATAGGCGTTTTCCAAATCTCCCTAGTGTGAAAGAAAACTAATCGGGCGCGATACGGGTAGGTGCCCGACGTTGTTACATGTATAATAATATACTATTCAACATATTCGGTGGAATTTCAAAAAGGAAAAAAAAATATCAGTTTTTTTTATGATAATTTATAAACCGTATTCAGTCCGGGTGTATACAATTAACGGGTATAAAACCTGTTCAGCCTTAATCCGTCCCTTATGGGCAAACATCACACGTACGACAGCATCCGGCTTAAGCCGCTTTATCGTTTCCTCCCCTTCTTTTTATTCGAAATGGTTTTTTTCCTACCAGACGGTCGGAAAATTGAGCAACTCGTGCAAAACCGCGTTCCGTTAAACGACAATTATTCATAATTGCTTTGTATTATAAACACGGTTTACCCGACTTTGTATAAATCGCGTTATCCGGATGCGACCAGTAACCGGAAACACGTGCCACCGCGCGGTAGCCTTACAAAGCCCGGCGACAACCGTAAAGATTAGCAGCCCTTCATAAAATAATACACACAACACATCCTGATAGTTTATACACGTGTATATTTTACTAAAGGGTTTTTTGTTTTTGTTTTTTAGGAATTAAAGAGTGATTTGCCGCAAGACGAGGATTTGTTATCTACCCATTAGGTAGGTAAGTAATTTAATATTTAACTAAATGTTACATGAAACAATAACAATACGTTCATAGAAGAATATTGAGGAAGTCATCATAAATTGAAATGATAAACAATTATTGTTTGTTAAAATTATAAAAGCAATGGAAAAAGCCAAACCCGAAATCATTTTACTAACATATTACAAAAAAAATAACAATTGTTGGTATATCATTTAATATATACTCTATGGGGGCTAAACGCGGATTTTTAATTTTTTGTATTTATATTTTAGTTTTTCTAATAAATGCATTTAGATTTTTAAAAACTTAATATAAAAAATCGGCTTTTTAGCCTCCACGAAGAATGCTGTAAGCTTTTCAAAAAAATATATTGAAATACTTTCAATAGATATACCGGAAAATGAACTTACTATAAATCGTTTTTCTCAGCTGTTCAACCAAATTGAATTTAGCGGCTTTATTTCTCTTAAAATTGTATTCTATTAAGTTCTCCTAGAAAACCGATTCTATTAGGTTTCTTTGACAAAAATATGTTATGTTTATATTATAATATTGTCACTTCTAATAATTAGATGGTAATGTTCCCCTTGTATCAATTTTTACAAGCTCCTATAAGTTACTTTCTATTTCTGCGATTGTAATCCAATAAAATATGTGTTTTCTTTACCAATATTTACATTACAAAAAAAAAAACAGAAAAATCCCGATGGAATTATTGTGTTTCCATAAGGTCGTTGACGTAATCTGTTTCCTTATGTGTCCACCTGAACAGCTTTATATTACGTCATGAATGATCGCCTTAGCTCAACGAATTCTTTAGGCTTCACATTGATTTCGGGTGTCTACAATATTCTAAACCGTAGCTAAAGTATTAGGGCTTTAACTTAGGATTAACGTCAGTGTAGGCATGAATAGCATTATATTGGGTATGACCAATTTGTTATTTGTGCCCGATCGACACGCGCGTGACGTCTGATCGAGAAGCTAAACAGATGTACAAGTGTATCATACCGACGCGTATGCTCTATGCTTGTATTATGGTTTAAAATAAAAGAAGAAGAATACTTAAACGTCGTTAAGCGATAATTTAAGTCTTTTTCGATGTTAGGTATATATATATATATATAAACCTTTTGAACCTAACATATACCTTGTGAACTTGTACCGGCTGTCATTAATTATTTTGTCCCTACCTGTCTGATTTATCATAACAAAAAGATTACACTAACTCTTATATTATAGTGCCGTCTCGGTTTCAAATGTTAATATGCCATACCTATTTAGTTCACGGTTTGTATGTGTGAGCATGACAGATAATACAAGTGTTTCTAGGTCATGTGCGTATGATCGACATCAGCTATACGGAAGACGACCGTGTGTGAATGAAACGGTGGCGGCGAGTGAGTCAACGGCTTTTGTTCTTCATGTACTATTTTTTTTCCACCTTAAACGCATGCTATGAAAACGTTTCCTGCGGGACAGAGTATTTTTTTTTTTTACGTTCTCATATGATATTTTTATGAATATGCCGTTTTCCTTGAAAATATAATGAATTTGAATAGGTTATTTTTTTAGTAAAACCTCATTCGTGGAATGAATCGGTGGAACAGTGGCGGACTAGATATAAGTTTTTTTTTTTTGGAAAGCGCTGTCTAATTGTTGGTCGTTTTGCATGCATTATAGGTACCGGGTACGTATCACATAATATGTGTAACGATAGCAAGATAAAACGTGCTCGCGTCCGTGGAAATCCTCTGCTATACATTATTATTATTCACATTATTAGACTATTGTGAAAATATTATTGCAATTTGTACACAGGCAACAGATTCAAAAGTTTACTAGACGTTTTGACGCCACTAAAACCGTTAATCAATGTGTTTATATAAATCAAAAGCAAACGCAACAACAGATGACCTGGCACAACCCTCGCGCCTACCAGGCATTTCAAAATAACATTCTGTCGTTTTTATTATATTTTTAGACTTAACTTGTCACTAGCAGTACAGTATAATCCTCGTATAATCGGAAAATTGCAATGCAGCTAAACTTTTTTTGTCGTTTAAACATACTATACACCATTTCCTTTTCTCCTATAAAATTACATATTCGAAATTTACCGGCCTTTCCCAAATCAACCTTAACCTTCAAAAACATGATATAAAATATTATATGGCTATAGAACATATTATATTATTATTATGTTATGTAATATATATATATATATATATACATTGTCACGGCCAAAGATGGCAAAATAGCGGTCCAACTAATACAAATATCAGTAAATAACAATAGACGACCGAGTCTCCAATTTAGGATACATTTTTAAAAAAAATCTAGTAGGTACCACGGTTTATATTTGAGCACGTTTTTGTTGTACAAACGACTGTAAATCGAAAACTGAACACATTCAAGCTGTAGAATACGTGTAACGTTTTTCGAGGAGAGTTACACCCGTAGACTTGATGAGAACACGGGCAGGGGGAGAAATCAAAGTTTCGAATAAACACACGCGTGGAATGGCGGCAATCGGGGACAATCGAGCTTCTCTTTAAAACGTTTTGCCGTTTAATCAACGTGGAACGAGAGCCGAAACGGTCTCGCGGAACAACGACGTTGTTAGTCGGAAAATTAATTAAGAAATTTATTAGAAAACTTATTATCTGCAGGCTAACCGTTTCGACTTAATGGAATGAAAAATTACAACTATAACAACAACAACAACCGGGACAACAGACCGGGTCGATTCGAAATTAAAACATAAATAATTTACGATTTTTGAGCCGAACATTGCCAAGCGCGTTGCATTTCGATATGGATTATTTTTCTTTCTTTTTTTTTGGGGGGGGGGGTTTTACATGAGCTGTGCCCGTTTTCATTTCGTTCTCGTATTTAACAACCGCGCGTCCTACCGTAAAACTGACTAATTATTGCCCTTTTAATGATTATTGCCCGGCTCTTTCAAATTAAATTCTTCGGGACTCTCCTCCCCGGCAAATTGCTCCGGAGCTCCACAATTAAGCGAATCCGTCTGAAATCGAAAACGCAGCTGTTAAATCCTTATGTATAGTATAGAGCAAAGGAACCATAATGAAATACCGCGTTTCTTCGAAGGGTGAACTGATAATTAAATACGGGACGAGTGCCAACTCTAGAAACATAATATATAAGTAATTGCTATTGGGAAACGTTACAGTTATTAAGCTGCGGCAGTGCAAATAGTGTACTACCGCAGTGTGGTGTACCTACTAGGAAGATAAACCTAAAACGTCCACTTGCATAACACGGAAGATGTTGCACCTGTAACCTGTCATGTGATGTTTGGCTAGTGCCCAACGATTAACACCTATGAGAATGTCCGGTGTAATAGAAATAAGCTAATTCGAAATGAAATTTCCGGCATTAGTTTTGTATTGATCGGAAGCTTCTCTACCTATTTATGCGTTTTCTCCGACATGATAAGTAATGACATGTTAGACATTTAAACAATACGTGGAAGCATTAAAACACTGATTTCAGCATCATTAATCGACATAAACCTTATTACACTTGTCCGTGTTGAGCAGCTGTGTGCGATTGTTTACCAGTCATTGGCGGTGTCAATCCTTATAGAATTAAATTATACAACTCATCATAATCATTGCTAAATTATATTACACGGACAACGGTAGGTTTTCTGAAAATACGTCTTAGATTACGCAATTATAACGCGGGAACCAATTTGTCTCTCTCGTCTTCGTTGCTCGAGCCCCCCATACATGTGTGTGTGTACACATATTTATTATAATCGGGTTATTACGCCATTGTATACAAAGTTCAAGGGCAAACAAGTAACAGCAAATTTGATTTGAAGTTTCCGTCAAAGAGACGACCAGCACGCATGCGATTGGCCGTGTAATAATGAACATTAATACCTAATGGGATTAATTTAATATGTACACCGTACGCCGCGCCGTGAACAATGAGAAAACGAGCGCCGACAGACCGTCAAAATGGTCCATTTCCGCGGCTTCGAGGGGATTTCCCCAAAAAGTTTCTCTGATTAATTAAATCCCTCCCCTTCGTGGTCTTTGCCGTCATGTCCACGCTCCGGAGTCGATTACTTCTGACGTTAATTAAGTTTGCTTCTAAGACGGGGTCAAAGCACGGCCATTCTCTTTACGGTCAAAAATCCGTTGACATAATATAATACTTGGCGCGTCTAAACTACTCTCCTTTAAATGGGCCAAATCCATTCGGGCCGTTCGCCGTTGGATATTCAATTAGACGTTACGATAATAATACCAAATATCACGCGAGTGCCCAAATTCCGTGGGGTAAAGCGAGCCCGATGGTTTCTAAGGGATTCGTTTGTTTGTCTATCAAGCATTTCTAATGCAATTATTATAACGGCGAACTATGATTGTGTTATTATGCCTATTCTCTATGGACGGACATTATTCATCCGAAATGTAACGTTCGGTTTGCAAATTAGTTGATTAACAGAGCTAGACTAGACCGCAGCCATTATGTGTGTTAGCCATGATATAATTATTATTATAACCGTAGGCGTTCAAAGTGTACATTGATTACGATTTGTTGTTTTTAATTAATAACAACTAATAACTATACTCTTGTCCGTTACACAACTGGCATCTAAATAAAACCGACGAGGTAAAGCAATCACACCAACCAGCGAGCGTTTTCCAAAAAAAAAAAAAATCCGTTTGCTTACTCCTATTAGTTGACCCCATCTAGATCAGATCTAGGGAATTTTTATAGTAAAGCTTTAAAGTTTAAAACTATTTGACACTAACTAACAATACGGTTACTGCGTTTTTAGATTGCAATCCAGGTAAGTGGAGCCCCCTACTTTTTTATTAGGTATTTTTTGTTGTATTAAATACAAAATAGAAAAAATAGAAAATTTTGTTTAGTGTTTTCTATTACAAAATTTCACTCGGTGTACAAAGTACAAACCCGTCATACATCAGTCAACTGTTAATGCCAGCATAATTTCTAGACAACTTAGC